TGTGTGTGTGTGTGGGGAGCGTGAGCAGGTGTTATTGATCCCAAGCGCGCAGAAAGAAAAATGGATGGGCACCGGTTTGTTGTGTGTGCTTTTAAATTGGTGGAACGCTTTGCATCAACCTTCTAGTATTAGCCAATTAGGTACATCAATACATCTTTCTATGCTGATACCCATCTTTCTGATGTTTACTAGCTTTTTGTTGTCTGTGCTTTTTGGCTGGCGCTGCCAGCCATTTTGGTCTGGGAGCACGGTTCATCCGAAAATCACGGCGGTATACCGACTCGTTGGAAGCCGCCTTTGCCTGTGAAAAGGTACTGGTGGTTTAAGGAGAGATGAGGTGGTTGTAGGCTATCGATGTCTTGACAAGAGCACGCAGACGTACTCCTGGGTGCCCTTCTAGCGGTGTTCGAACCCTGCAAACCTTGAAACACTGTTTATTCCAAATTTCCTATTCAAGACCATGTAAGCAAGACTAAAATTTGATATGCTAATACGTTTGAAGAAACCAGTGATTGAGTGCTCTGACTGACTGGCTGCGACCTTCATGCTCTGACGTATCTACTCTCCTACAATAGGTCAACGGTTCGAGACCCGCAAACCTTCAAATGTTGTGTTCGACCTCGTCCAAGACCAAGTAACAGTGTGATTCCATATGCAAGTGCATTTGAGCAATGACTAAGTGAGGGCCCGGATTGGGTGCTATGAGTGTTGGTCCTTGGTCTACGCCCGGTGGTTTTTGGGGGCTATTCGATGAGGGACCTAGCTAACGCGTTCCTGCAGGGCCGAACGTATCGACTCTCCTACAGGTCAACCGTCCACAAGACCCGCGAAAATTTTGAAACACTGCGTTTGACTGTGCGAGACCAAGTAATAATACAAGTTGCTATGCTACAGTCTTCACCCGAATACAACGTACCGTCATTATAGCTGTATTTGGGCCAACTATGTGTCTAGATACAGTGATAATGACCGTACGTTGTATTCGGGTGAAGACTGTAGTGCATTTGAAAGTTTGAACAAAATAGCAAATGAGTGTACTTGAAGGTCGTACACTCTTCTGCATCTCCAAATAAAGATTCAGAACAGATCCTGCATTTGGGCCAACTCTCAGTCCAGGGACAGCAATGATGACTGTACGCATGCGACCCACTTTGCCTGGATGATGAGCAGCGACTCCCATTCCGGAGCGCGGAGTTTGATTGCCTGCCGCATGCCATCTCTTAAAGCACCCGCTGTCCTTCAGGTCGACGGACGGAGACCAGGAAATGTCGAAGCACTTGGTGACTGCATAACTTTCAGGGCAAAGTAATAATACAATTCGAGATGCTTTTTTTTTTTTTTTTTTTTTTTTTTTCCTGAGATGCTACCGGTAGTACATATGCAGTATTATGAATATCTAATATGAAGAGTTCTGATTGGCTGATTTGGCCAGCATAGCAGCAGCATTTCTGGACTTGCTCAGGCAGGGCCGCCCATATGCGCTTCACGCTTACACGGCTATGGCAGCTGTTCTCTTGTATTTTCATCTGCGCCCACAGCAATTTCTGATCCCGGTACTGTTTTGAATGTGGATATTGGATTTTGGTACCCATCACAGCACTGACAGCAGCAATCTGGACGCACCAGAATTCTTTGGCTCATGGAGGATGGGTACCGAAAAAATTCCCGGAAGATGGATGGAGGTTAGCAGTTTTGAATGTACGAGGGGGGAAAAAAAGGAAAAAAAAAGGTGTCTTTGTACAAACTACCACAAACATGCTAAGTAACCGGACAGTTACCCTCCAGAGTAGAACGGGCCTGCGTGATTGTTATTAACTTATTACCAAAAAAAAAAAAGGAAAAAAAAAAAACTTTAAAAAAGGTATGAGAAAACCTCAAAAAGCCTTGAAAAAGGTGCGATGGGCATATGCTAAGTAACCGGACTGTTGCCCTCCAGAGTAGAATGAGCATACGAGACTTAACTTTTCTATCTTTTCTTTTTTTTTTTCCTTTAAAAAAAAAAAAAAAAAGCAAATGCTCCAATCTATTCGTGGGGAGCAGCACGTGCTGGGAACCGGGCCCAGCATCCCATATCGAATTGTACAGATCATTAAGAACATTTGAGAAAATTTGAGATCATTTGAGATATCGGGGCCATTTCCCGGCTTCGGCTGAGAGCCGACTAACTTTTCTATCTGCTCCTGATTCTGCTGAATATTCCCTGGCAGCAGGAGGAACGAAGAAGTGGGCTTGTCGATTCGCCGGAGGGGGGGATGGATGGGCAGCAAGAAGAGCAAACACGCATAGGTGGTCAGCAATGTTCTGCCAATGCTGCGGCCGCAGTGTCGTTCAGGGAGCTTTTGAAAAGGTTCCCGGCAGATTGCAGAGCGGCGGAGAGCTTGGCCGACATCTCCGTTCACATGTGTTTCATCTGCTTGCTGCATCTCGGAAATGAACACGGTTTGAGGATCGAGGGCTCCGACTCCCTGGAGGAAGTGACTGTTTATAACATTGGGTAGGGACTTGAGAAAGAAGATGTCAAAAGAGAAAAAAGAACGAAAAAAAAAAAAAGAAAAAAAAAGCGGATATGATTGGAACTCTCGAGTCTGCTAGCTTTTGTGAAATGGGCAAAGGGGAGAATTGAGGAAAGGTGCACTGCCTTTTTTTTTTTTCTTTTTTTTTTTTTTCCTTGTTTCCGTTCTGTCTTTCTTCGTGACTATACTCTGAAGTTGTTTCTTAATGTTACTCTTGTATGTACTGCTCCAATTTAATTTATTTCTTTTTGTCAATAAAAAAATTTGTTTAAAAGTATGAAAACAGGTCCTTATTGTCCTGACTCTATATCTTCGTCTGTCGGGTTCCTTTTCCCTCGGTAGTTTCACTTGAAGAAGTTGAAGTACTGATTCACGCTTCCTTCCTCAGCGTTGGTTACTCTCGCTGGAGGATTTATTTCTTTTGAAAAGTACTTCACTGAACTGATCAAAACTTAAACCACCAGTACTTGGCCCAGCTATCGCAGCCGAGCCTGGAAGTGCCCTGCGCGCCGTTTCTCGCCGAAACGCCAATTCGATTTTGGTTTTCGGAAAGGCTGGCGGCGCCAGCCTTCCAGGTCCCGTTGCCCGAAGCGCGAACTTCGCGTAGCGTTAACGCTAAGGCCCGCGGGCGATATATGGGCCAAGTACTGGTGGTTTAATAGTTCAGTGGGTCTTCAGCCAAATGGAAGGGGAGAAGTCAATATTTCCCTTCGTGTACGGACTCACGCTTCCTTGCATTTGGCCGAAGATCCACTGAGCAGCATCATTGGTTACTCCCCCTTCCTCAGGCTGGAGGATTGACTGTCATTTCCCCCCCCCGCTTCTTCCTCTCCTCTCTCTCAGACACCCCCTTCTTCCACTCATCCATCTCTCTCAGACACCCACCTTCTTCCAATAATCTCTCTCATACACCCGCCTTCTTCATCTCGTCTCTCTCAGACAGTTTCCCAGGGTCTGTCCGAATTAACTCCATAACCAAGAGTGCGATCACGAAGCCGGCGAACCGAACCGGGTTTGAGCTCCTCGTCAACTTGGTTGTGATCATCGAGGCCATCCGCTGCCTCTCACGGCCGTATGGGATCCCAACCAACTGGGTTCTCGCTGTTGGCGGCTTTGTCCTCCACTTGCTGTCTCTGAAGTTGTGTCAGTCTTTCCGTTCGATACTTTTCTCATTCCTCGTTTTTTTTTTTTTTTTTTTTCTGCTCAGTCCTGGTTGTTATTTTTGCCTCCTTGTCTTTGGCTACCCATGTAAATTTGAAATTTTGCTTTCTGCCTCAATTTTGAGTAATCGTCCCCCTGGATCACTGATTTGCAATCTTCCACCATTTGCACACGATCTCCGCTTCAATAAGTTCTTGGGGCCAGTGGACACACTCTTTTTTTTTCTTTTTTTTTTTGGCTTATGCTCGCTTTGAGGTCCTTTGTGTTTTTCTTTTTTTTTTTGCACTCTTTTTTTTGCTTATGGTTTCTCTCGTTCCATGTTGCCCATAATGTCGCCTGCTGTCCCAAGCTGCATACCATCTGTTCCTGGGTTTTTACCTAGGCTACCAGAGTGGCCCGGGGTCACTTGCCCGGCCGGGCCAAAAAAAATAAAAATAATAAAAATAAAATTAAATATTTTTATATTTTATTTTTTATTTTTAATTGAGTACAGAATTTCGATGTGACCCAGAGGCAAAAGTTGTTCGATTTATTTTTCTGCATAACATAGTTTTTTTTCGGAGTTTTTGAATTTCGTTTTTTTTGTTTTTTTTTCTGCTGGGACATTCCACCCGGGACCCGGGCGGCCCGGTTGGTAGCCTAGGTTTTTACTGAAATTAGCTGGAGTATTAGCCCACAGCAGGAGCTGAAAAATGGGGTGCTCCGGGAGAGCGGAGGAGAGTAACCGCTTCTATTTTCAATTCAGATTCTCTGGCCTAGGTATTTTTCAGCTCTCCCGGAGCACCCCATAACATAGGTATTTCTGCCACCGCTTTGCAATCTATCAAACAAGGCAGACAACAGCAGTGTATTTTATCCTCTCCTTCGTCGCCTGAGCATCCTATACATAGGTCGGAGCTATTCAGGTCGTTCTTCCTTCTCCGGATGTAAAGCCGATGGGCCATTCTCTGTCTATGGGTATTTCTGCCACCGCTTTGCAATCTATCAAATCAGACAGACAACAGCAGTGTATTTTATCCTCTCCTTCGTCGCCTGAGCATCCTATACATAGGTCGGAGCTATTCAGGTCGTTCTTCCTTCTTCGGATGTAAATCCAATGGGCCTTACTCCATTGCTCACAAGTTGTTCAAAAAGAGAATGAATGTTCCGGTTGAACGTGGGAAGATACACTGCCATTTTTTCGTCTTTTGTGGATGTGGTGAGTAGTGGAGCGAGGACCAATGGTTGACTGTAGTGCTACATACGTTAGCAGTTGGAGGCTTCTGGTCTTTATTAGTTCAGTTGTCGTGTTTTTTTTTTTTTTTTTTTTTTTTTTTCAAAAGGGCGACGGTCTTTAGATATTACGTTGAACTGAACGGTCCCAGATAATTGAGGAATATTTTGTTTTGTCATCTGATTGTGTATTGGGTCTATATTTCAACAGTTTGCAGGTGTATCAACTGAGTTAGGCTCGGTGGTGTTTTTTTACTCTATACATCGAGAATAATTAATGAAATTGTTGAGGGTGGCATAGTGTAGAGGTGGCAGTTCTCCCCTCAGTGATCTGGCAATGTCATTCAGCTCTTCAGTGCAATGTTGCTCGTAAGCTCGTGATCCATTTTTTTTTTCTTTTCTTTTTATTATTTGGACCCTCCTTCTAGAAAGGAGAAGTATTTAAACCACCATCTCCTACGACCCTCCTTTTTCCATGGCGGGTCATTACACACACACACACACACACACACACACACACACACAC